AGAAAGATAGATACAAAGAAGAAGAAGACAGAAATAATCAAACTAATAATTAAATTAATGAAATAGGAGTTTATGTTGCTTTTTGAATAATCCATCAATTTTTTAAAATTAAAAACTATGTAAAGATTTGCATCAAAGTGTTTCTTATGATAGTGATTTTAATCACTACTTTTAATACTGTTAGGTTAATAATACTGTTAAAGGTAATACTGTGCTGCGACCCCTCAGAGCTACCGTTTTTTGTATTTTATTGTTATGCTCTTCATATTCAATGTTGTCTCTAGAAAGTTATTACTAGTGGAATTCTTGTACCTACGCAAAATTAGTATGGCTTCCAACTGTGTATTGTGGTGAAATAAATAAATAATAAATACAAAAAACATTATTTATTGATTTTATAATAAATATCAATATACGAAACATTCTTATAATTTATAAATTATACAATATTGAAAATATCTTATATAGATAAAAATATATGTAAAAATACTTATTCGATTGAATACTCTGAACCCAAAATAGAAAAACCTAGATTGTCACAATCATCTCTAATAACGTGATCGTGAAATATATTGAAATACTCACAAATCGGTTTAATTAGGTGTCCAAATGATTTTTTATTATCTACTAAATTTATTTCTAAAGCATTATTTATTTCATCTTCTATTTCCAAAGTTTTTTTTTTTATGATGCAGAATCTTTTAACATAATAATTGGATATAAGTAATTTTTCCTTGATTACATTAAGGAATATAATAATTTCATTCAAAAGAGCGTATACATTTCTCATGTTTATATTCTCTTGATTTTCGAAAAAAAATATCTTAGGAGGATACTTACTTAATATATCTTTGATGCAATAAATACATATCTCGACAACTTTTTCTATACATAAATGAGGTTTTGGATCTTTATTTTTTTTTGTTATTAAACGAATGGTTAATAAAGCTGATAACATACGATTAAACATGTCAGAAGATTTATTGATTATGTGATATAGTTGAGTAACGCAATTAAAAAAATAATGTGTATTATTTTTTTTTTCATTTCTACAGATATGAATAAGGGAGCTCAATATGGTAGTATAAATATATAGTATTTCGATGTACCTACATCTCAACAATTTGGCTAGGTGAGTTTTTATAACATGTTTGTTATTGTTGTCTACTTGACATTTTATATCATCAAAGTTTAGACATTGATCGTTGTATACAATTTTTATATGATTCAACAGTTTCCAACCATCCTTTTGCATAATGGTATTAAAAAAACTAACATCAGTTTTTAAATTTTCATCTTCTAATTGTGGTGGAATAAGTCTAAAAACAATTAATTTAGTTAATATAATCTATACATTTATTTAACTAAATTAAAAAAAAAAATCTTATAAGAAATATTTTTTGTAATCCAGTGGATAAAATATGGTTGCATCAGAGAAAGGATGGGTGATTGCCTCTCTGGATTTCTAGTTTTCATATTATTGTTCTATATCTCTAAAGGCATTTTTTTTTCATTAAAATGTTATTAGGGAATTTATAACAATAAATTACTACAATAATATCTATTGTTATAGAACAAATTGAACGATAAACCTTAGACGAAGAAAAAGGTGTCTAAGAGTGTCATTTTTGAAAAAAGCCCAATAAAACTGTAATTTATAGTAATTTGTTGAGTTCTATTTCTTGAACGTTTAAACTTAAATTATGTCCATATTATTTTAGTGGTTTTGATTCTTTGATTGTTGGATTTTCTTTTCTTCTAGATTTAAAGTCATTAGATTATCTTAAATAAATTAACATACATTGGTAGAAATTTATAAAAATTGTTATTTTAAACAATTACTAACTAAAATCAGTTGAGTTATGAAAAAATATCATTTAAAATTTAATATAAGCATCACAAGATAAATGAATGATTAATGACCGTTAGAAAATTGCATGAACGAGAAAACTAACTGCCCGATGTGGCATTTTTAAATTTTTAGGTGTTTTCATTCAAAATATAAGACTATCGGGAAAAAAATATTTAAAAAAAAAATATAAGCAATCACGAGACGCTTGGTATATGTGGAGATACGCTTGGTATACGTTTTGTATAGAAAATATGCATGAAAAGAGTTTATTAAAAGAATTTGATATAATTAAAAACAAAATTTTCAGATTTTTTTAAACAAAAATTATTCTTAATCGTTCCTACTTTTTTTTTTTAATGCGCAAAGTTCTATTTTTAATGAAAAAACTTTGATGGTGTACAAAATAAACACCTACTAATATATATATACATTAGTGTGCACTTAAATTAGAAACTATAATTTAATTACTTTAAACTGAATCATACGATTGTGTCTTATAGTGTTATTTAATTTTTTTGCCAAGATACAATTTATGTTCTAAACTACGTCACCACTCATATTTTATTGTTATGGTTATTTATTCAAATAAAATACCGGCAATATTTTCCGAAGTTAACTAATAATACTCTATATACAAATGACTTACTTGTGATTACTAGGTTCTAGTAATTCCATAAATCCACAATTAACAAAATCATTTTCGATTGTTATGTAGTAAAATTTTTGGAGTTTTTTTTTAATAATTTCAGTTTGTAATAATTTAGACTTATTTAAACAATTAAAATATTCTTCGTCGTAAACGATTCGCAAATATGGTTCAATAGCATTAACATCTACACAGTAAAAAGCTCGATTAATTTCTATAAGATTTTTCAATATGTTTATCTTCTCACGATTACCGTGAAAATTTTTTATGCTTAAAAATTCTTGCGAAATTTTTAGTTCGTCTGCATTTAACAATCCTTGAGGAAATTGATCCACTTTTAAACGTGTAAATTCTACAAAAGGTTTTAACTCATTTACAAATGTGGTTGGTACTTTTATTAACTTATTTATGAGTCTTAAATCTATCTGATTCATAAATTTCATAGCATTAAATAATTTATCAAACATATTTGATGAATCTTTTACAGCGTCGTATAGGTGAATTATACAAATTTTAAAATTTTCTGTATTATTCGAGGTCAACTCATCATTACATTTATTTATTATTATACTTATCAATAGGTCATAATAAAAAATAATTTCTGCGTACCTACAGTTGAGCGAGTAGATTAATAAATGCAATACATGTATATAACTAGAACTTATATCTTTTTCTTTAATTGCTTCACTTATTGTTAATTTTTCAAATTTGCTATCCTTTACAAGTATATGTGGCATTGTATTCCATCCGTGTTGATTACACATATGGCTTAATACTTCAATAACGTATTTTTTGTACTCTTGACTCTTTATTTTACAATTTACAAAGTAATACATATGTGTTATCGTTAAAAAAGTCATCATTAAAATATAAAATACTATGTTCATTGTTAGTCTGTAATTGTATAAATTTAATGTTTATGTTATGTTAAATTAAATAGTTAGTTAAAATTAAATTTAACAATATACAATATATAAATGTCAAATTTACACTGTAACAATTTTACTTTGCATGTATAATTTATATACAGACGCATTAAATACTATAAAATCCAATATAAATATTTCGCAATAAAATTTCAACTTACATTGTAACAGTGTTGACTTGATATTTATAGACAATTATATTTAGTTTTGTCAAATGTATTGTGTTTAAGTTATTTTTAATTATGTTATTCTTACCAAACTACATTATTTGACTTATCATTAATAATTAGTTAGTTTATTAAAGATTTAAAATTGTTATTGAAAATGACAGTTAAAATCAAAAAATTGGAAGGGCTATTTTAATTCCTCTCTTTATAAAATAAAATTATTGCATAACAACACATATATTTTTCAGGAATTTTGGAGGGCTAAGCACCTCTAACTTGCACTTATGATAACTATTAATTATTATCAGATATATTCGTATGATATTAGGAAAATAAAATTAAATAATTTACTATGATGCGTTTTTTTTTTATTTTATGTCTGTTACCATTTTTTCTCAGCTCTCACTGAACCGATTTCTTTCAACAATATGTCAAAAATCAAAAATCTCCAAAAAAATTACAAATTTAAAAATCGCTAATTTTCAAAAATTTTTCAATTTTTTTTTTTACTTCAAATTGCCATAACTTTTTTAAAAATATTGAATCAATATACTATTTTTTTATAGATGCACGATATATTTACTTTTCATTTGATATATTTTTTTTATAAATCTAACTCTTTACCTGCCCACAGGGGGGATTAAAAATGACAATTTTTTCACAAATAATTAACTTTTAAAAGTGTTCTGGAAATACTGACACTTTTATATATATCATATATTAAAGTTAATGTAAATCAATTTATTATGAGGAAAAAAAATTTAGACTTTATTTTGTATTCACGAAGAAAATGACTCTCGTATCCAATTTTGTGTTAAAATTCTCGATTTTATATTTTTTATTTTTAACTTTATAATACCTTCTCAACTAAAAATCCGTTAATCAAAAACCGATGATTTCACAATCATTTCTAATAATATTTTCATAATAAATGTTTGTTTTTTCATACAAAGGATCAATAAGATGACCAAGAGGCGTTTTAAAATTTTTATTGTCCAAACACAATAAGATATCTTTTATACTATCTAATTAAACAAATTTGAAAGAAAGTATATGAATTAGAGAAAATTTGATTTTAATAAAAGTAGTTATATGTATAAAAGTATAGAAGATATATTTTTACAGTTTTAAATAGCATAACAGTAATAAAACTACTACAAATGAAAAGTTAGTGTTAATAATCATCGAATTATATAATATTTTTTGGAAATCTCGGGTTAAAAAAATCAAATGCTAATTAAATTGATGCATTATCACGAAACTTGATATGGCTCCAGCTCTAAATTATATAAATAATGAAAAACTGCGTTTATTTAATATAATAAGTTAGTATAGTAATAAAATTACTCGTTGAAATTAAAATTGAAATTTAGAGTAATAATTTATTTTACCGTTAATTAGAACATTTATTTGAATTGTTTTTTTTCGCGACGGTCAATGGTATTGTTATTACCGTATTATGTTAAAATTTTTTTTTACTTTTTACTGAATAAAATTGTTATACTTTTGTTTATACAGTAGTTATTTTTAACTCCTTCCTTTCAAAATTACCAATATATTAAATATAATAAATACAGATTAGGTAATGATTTTGATTGGAAAATAAAATTGTTTTTTAATTATTGTTTATTTAATTATGTTATATGTTAAAATCATAATGCGACAATTAGTTTAATTAAAAAAAAAAATCCGTTAATCAAAAACCGATGTTTTCACAATCATTTCTAATAATATTTTCATAATAAGTGTTTGCTTTTTCATACAAAGGATCAATAAAATGACCAAGAGGCGTTTTGCAATTTTTATAGTCCAAACACAATAAGATATCTATTATACTATCTAATTCCAGAGATTTTACTTTGAATAAGCAAATTTTCGTGTTATAATTTTTCATTGTTACTAAACTTTGAACTATTATTTTCCCTTGTAAATTCGTAACTTCATTTAAAAATGCATTTGCAATATTTCCATTGCCGTCACTATTTACGTTGTTAAAGTCTGCTTCGAATTGATACTTATTAAATAATTCTTTAATAAAATTCAAAAATGACTCAAAGAATCTTTCAATGAGCAATGGATAAGATTTTACTGTCGGTAATCCTGACATTTTTTTTATTTTTAATAATGCAGTAAACATACGATCAAGCATAATTGTAGATTTATTTAAAGAGTTGTAAAGTTGAATAACACAATATACAAAGTGATTTGTAGTATTATTTTTTTTTTCATTCCAGCATAAATTCAAGAAGGCTTTTAAAAAGTATTCATAATTGTGGAGTATTTCAGTGTATCTGCATCTCATTAATTGAGAAATCTGTAACCGTTTGTGATTTTCATTGGTTTTATTTACAGGAGTAAAAATATCATCAACCTTTAGATATTCATTTTTGTGTATTATTGTTATGTGTTTCATCATTTTCCAACCATCCTTTGTTATAATTGAATTCAAAAATTGAATTCTTTCAGTTTTATTCATAAAGTCAACTGTAGATGGTGTAAACCTAAACATAAAATTAATAATTAATTTCCGCATTGGGAAAATCTAGATCACTAAATATTTCAAGGGTAGTGATAAGCTAAATTTACAAATTTCTTTTAAAATTAAAAAGCAATCTTAAATTTTAATAATTAAAAACCATATGGTAGTATGCATTTTAATATTTTACAATAATACTGAAGTCTTTGTTGTTGAAGTTAACAACTTATATAAACATAATTTATATGTGATAATATATAAATGTAATCAAGATGTTATTGTCAAGTTGAATTATTACGATTTAAAATTTTATGGAATAAAAACGTATTTTTTATTTTTTGTTTATTTATATAAACATAACACTTTGGTTTTTCAACTATTACCAACATATGAGCATAGTAATGTTAAGTCACATTAGTTTAAGTAAGATAATATTTATATAAATATTTAATATTTGGTTTAATTTAACTTACTTTTAATTTCATGATCTATTGTTATTATACCGGGTAGTATATATTTATAAACATTTTCAAAAATGTTAAAGTAAAAAAATTATTAGTAAAAAAAGGTCATTGAGAAAATTTTCCTACTTGCGCCAGATGATGTAAACTTCCCGCCACTTCTCGCACTTCAAAAAAAAAAAAAGTAGAATATTACTTGGCAATTTTTATTTTAAATTAATTAGTTCTTGTGATTATATTTTTTAAATTTGTATATTTAAAAAACCTGCTATTTAAATAGAAATAATACATTTGAAATACAATTTCAAACATTATAAAGGTAAACGTCGAAATATTGTATTAAATTTATATAATTTATATGGATATATAGATCAATTGGTTTACTAATTTCCCCATGTTCATTTTTCACTCAACTCGCATATGCACATACACTCGAGATACGCGATTAGGCAAGGCAAGTTATTTTAATCGACGAATTTCTTAGAAAAATAGTCATAATAATAAAACCATTTATTCACCGAAATAAGAAACTGTTTGTACCAGTAATTTTTAGTATGTGTTCGTTTTTCGTGGTCGTTGGAGCTTAAATATCGGGTACCAAAATAAAATGAGTGGCCGATTACGTGATAAATATCGAAAATTTAAAAGTGGTGCTGAAAAGCGAAAACTTAAAAATGGTCAAAAAGAGAAGGATAAACTTTTAAAAAACTCTTTATGTAAATTTTTAAAAAAAGATCAAAATGATTGTGTTGTCGGAATTAGTAATCAAGTTAACATTGAAAATAACGAACAAAAATTATTGTTAGACAATATTACTATTGAAACAAAAGAATTACAATCCAGTAGCAAGACTCAACAGAATGAAGTAAATGAAAATCTTCAACAACTATCAAAAGATTTACTACTCCAAAAAGATACAGAGAACAAAAAGGTACAGGACGATGAAATTGATTATGACGATTCAGGTAAATGTCAAAATATTACAGATAAATTACAAGTTTATTTAAAAGAGAACTCGCCTTCAAAAATTATAAATTATAATTTTCCATCAGACGACGAAGGTAGAAAATTCAGCATAACACATTATAATCAAATAATGGGGAACGGTGAAAAAGTGGTAAGAAATTGGCTTTTATATTCTAAATCTTTAAATCAAGTTTTTTGTCTCTATTGTCGTTTATTTTCTTCAAACTCAATTATCATTGGCATCAGAAGGATTTTTTAATTGGAAACAGATAAGTGAACGTTTAAAAGAGCACGAATTATCTATTTCACATAATATAGCTCAAGAAAAATGGCTACAACTACGTATGAGACTTAATCTCTATACAACTATAGATAATGATATTCAAAGAAATGTAAATATTGAAAAAGAACGTTGGCATAATATTCTTAAACGAATTATTGCATGTATAGAATTTTTAGCAGAGCATAATGACGCATTTCGTGGANTTTTTAGCAGAGCATAATGACGCTTTTCGTGGAACAAGTTCTAAGTTATATACAGCTAATAATGGTAAATTTTTAGGCTTACTTCAAATGATTGCAAAATTTGATTTAATTATGGCTGATAATTTAAAACGTGTATATAATAATGACATCCATGATCATTATTTAGGTCCTAGGATACAAAATGAACTTATTAATATTATTGCCACAAAAATACGTGATGAAATAATAAATCGAGTAAGACAAAGTAAATATTTCACAATTTTATTGGACGGAACTCCTGATAAAGGTCTCAAGGAGCAGCTTACATTTTTATTGCGCGTTATAGAAATTTCGAACATTTTCAAATATGAAATAAATGAATATTTTATATGTTTCATTCATACTACAAGTAAGACTGGTTTGAATTTAACAAAGGAAATAAAAGCACAATTGAAACTAATGAACATAGATTTAAATAATCGTCGTGGCTAAGCGTATGACAACGGGGCGAATATGATAGGTCATCATCAAGGAGTGCAGTCAAGAATCCTTTCTGAAAACCCAAGAGCTTTTTTTGTTCCGTGCACTGCTCACAGCCTTAATTTACTTCTCGGAGATATGGCATCATCCGTACCAGCTGCTATGACATTTTTTGGGGTAATTCAAAAAATTTATTCTATTTTTTCTGCCTCTACTGAAAGATGGACTATTCTTCTCAAATACGTTTCAGATTTTACACTAAAACCAATGTCAGATACTAGATGGGAATCTCGGGTCGAATCGGTTAAGCCTATCCGTTTTCAATTATGCCAAGTACATGACGCTTTAATAGAAAATAGTGAATCAACAAAGGATCCTAAAATAAAAAGTGAAAGCTCGTCATTAGCTAACTATGAATTTATTTTAAGTGTTGTTATTTGGTACGAACTGTTATCTGCTATAAATAAAATTAGTAAGAGTCTTCAGAGCAAAAATATGGAATTGAGTAATGCTGTACAGTTGTTAAGTGGTCTTAAAGATTTTTTTTATAATTTTAAAAATGAAGGGTTTGAGTCGTCAAAAAAAATTGCGCAAAATTTATGTGAAGGCCTTGATATTCAAGTAGTTTTTAAACAATCTAGAATTCAAAAAAAAGTTAGGCAGTTCAATTATGAAAGCAAAGATACACGTCTAAATTCAGCTGAGCAAACATTTTACGATGATTATTTTCTAGCCGTAATAGATCAAACAATCGTATCAATTAATGAACGTTTTGAACAACTATCTCATCATTCAGAATATTTTGGATTTTTATATAATATTGAAAATTTAAAAACATTTGACGAAGAAACGTTAAGAAAACATTGTATGGATTTGGAAATTTTATTAAAAGATAGTGAAAATAATGATATAAATGGTATTGAACTTTTTGACGAATTAAAATTTTTTTGTAGAATTTTGAACAAATGACTTCTATAGAATGTCTTAATTTAATAGAAACAACATGTGGCTCATTTCCAAACATTTCTATTGCATTAAAATATTATTGACCCTTCCGATAACCACAGCAAACGCAGAGAGAAGTTTCTCCAAGTTAAAAATCATAAAAAATTATTTAAGGACATCTATGACACAAAATCGTCTTTCTTATCTAGGAATTATTACAATCGAACGTGATCTGTGTGAAAATTTAGATTATGACGATATTATTGAAAAGTTTGCCGAAATAAAAGCCAGCAAAATTGATTTTATGTAATTTAAATTGTTTTAACGAAGGTCAGTTTAAATAAGACATTGTTTTTTATTCTTTTAATATTATTAAATTAAAGTAAATTTTTGACTAATATTAAAAAGCCACTGTGGGTACTTATGAATTTTATTACAAAGGAGTCATAAATAATTTTATATTAAAATTAACAATAAATAGTTGTTTAATTTTTTTCTTTATAAGTTTTTAAAAGTTGTATAAAAACATTTTTGTTGTATTTTTATTTATAATAATGATAAAAATGAAGTGTTGTTATCTACGTTTTGTTGTTATAAAATTATTTGGCCCTAGGTACTAGCCTGGTACTCTGGCTATTGATGAGCAAAAAAAAAATGGTCATTTTTGCCCTGGGCCTCGCAAATTGTAGAATTCTACGCCCTGAGTAGAAGACATTACCTTTAAAAATTGAAAAAATTTCCCTCGCTACTCGTAAATGGGGGAAATCTTCAAATAAATTACAAATTTAAAAATCGCTAATTTTCAAAAATTTTTCAATTTTTTTTTTACTTAAAACTGCCATAACTTTTTTAAAAATATTGACACGGCACCGCCTTTTGCTCTAGGCTGGCGCTCACCCGTGTCTCTCTCGATATCAGCCGTCCAGCTATTAATATGACAATCGGTTGTCATCGGTCGTCACCCCGCCCTTGACACTGAGATAAGGCCGCCGCCGAATATGGATTACCGATATTGCGTCCTGTTTCGTTTCGACGTTCACCTGAACTGGTGTAATTTTACTTTTGGCTGTTCGGTTTTCTTGTGACGTTAACCTGGACTCGTTGTGGCGTTTCATTTTTCATGTGCCTTGTTTTTTTTCGTTGTCGTTGGTGACTATATTTATAATTACTATTCTTATTAACTGGTTTACTTATTGCGCAAAGGTGTGGTTTGAATAATTAAATCTATATATATATATATAGAGTCAGAGACTATATTTGATATTTTCCTATACCACCGCTGTAATTATTGTGCGGTTAACCTTGCTATACGAATCTATATAAATAAATATATATATTTTGTGTGTGGTGTTCACCGTATATATTGGATACGCGTCAATATTGAATCAATATACTATTTTTTTATAGATGCACGATATATTTACTTTTCATTTGATATATTTTTTTTATAAATCTAACTCTTTACCTGCCCACAGGGGGGATTAAAAATGACAATTTTTTCACAAATAATTAACTTTTAAAAGTGTTCTGGAAATACTGACACTTTTATATATATCATATATTAAAGTTAATGTAAATCAATTTATTATGAGGAAAAAAAATTCAGACTTTATTTTGTATTCACGAAGAAAATGACTCCCGTATCCAATTTTGTGTTAAAATTCTCGATTTTATATTTTTTATTTTTAACTTTATAATGCTATAACTTTTTGAAAAATGTATTGAGTAATATAATTTTTTTATGATAAGTACTATTTATAAATAGTATTTAGAGGTATATATATACAGGGTGTAAATCTTTCGAACCATAGTAATGTATGGGCGAGTATGCTGATAAAGTGTAAAATAGGACCTCGTTTTTTTTTTTTTTTTTTTTTCAAAATTGGAGGAATTTTGGATTAACCCCCCCGAATTTCTCTAAAATTAAAAATAAATCATACCACAATATTCCCCG